GGCCTCTTAGAGTCTCTCTTTGGGGGTAAAGGCCTCTTAGAGTCTCTTTTGGGGGTAAAGGGGGGAAGCCGCCGGCTGGCTGCTACCTTTGAGCTGCAGGTGGCGCCGCTGAGCCCGTCCAGCAGGCCCAGGCAGCCCTCGGTGTCGGTGTAGGCGATCTGCCCCCCGGAGGGATGCCAGGCCAGGCTGCACACCGTGAAGCCTTTCTCATGTTTCTGCCTGCATTTAGAGGAAAAAGAAGCCTGAAATATGTACAGCAGAACCTCTATTACGATGCCTAGACATACAAGTTTTCCAAGAAATTCCATCAATTATTCAACTCGACAGCCGAAAGTATATTTCCGACATCTATGTTGTTGAAGTCATAGAAAAAAATCTAAAATTTAAAAATGAAATAAAAATAAAAAAAGCATAAAGTAAAAAAAACTAGTAAATTAAACAAGTAAACAAAAAAATAAACAAGTTAAAGTTCACGTAAATAAACAACTTAAAGTTCACGTAAATAAATAAACAACTTAAAGTTCAGGTAGTAAAGTCAGAGTAAGTTAGGTAACATCCTGTATCTCAGTCTCCACCTCTACCTCCGTTCACCAATAAGGGCCAATAAACCCCCTTTTTATTAATTATTTTTTTAGAATTTATTTCTTTTTCCATCTCTCTTCTATAAGTCATTTGTTTTATTGCTATGTGTAATTACCTGTAGTATTTATTAAGGAGTTATCGTATGTTTTTGGAACCAATTCTAGGAATTACGGTGTATTCTGATGGAAGATTTGAACCAAGATACCAATATTTTAACATACGAAGTCCTGGAACTAATTAAATTCGTATGTGGAGTTTCTATTATATAAGGTTATACTTTCTGTCGTATAACCTAACTCTCACATAGGTTTTTTCCATCATTGTAAAGCGTTTTCCATCATTATCTGAGAGGAAAGCAGAGCTTCAAGCCTTAAAAGGCATCTGCAAAGTGTCATTAAAAGAAGATTTATCATGGTTAGCCCTGCGAAACCAGTATGCTGCGTCAGCTAAAGGCTCCACATTAGCTGGCAGGAGCCACTTTTTGAGGCCCAACCGCCTCCAGCTAAGAAGAACCAGCTTCTCTTTGCTTCGCACCTCTCAACACACAGCTTGCTGTCCACGTCCCAGACGGTCAGCGAGCCGCCCACGCCGCCGGCCGCCAGCAGCCGGCCACACGGGGACCAGGCCACCACGTTGATGGGCTGGAAACAGGAGGGGACAGCACTCAGAGTAGAAAATAAGAAAATAAAAAGGCCCATTAGTCTGGTTAACAAATTAATTTGTTAATATTGGAGCAATCGGATGTAAAGGCTGAGGAGAAGAGGATGGAAAGTGTTCATCATTTTAAGGAAAACTCGCACATTATTATAAAAACAGCTTCAAAGAAATGCACTTAATCAGATTAAAAAAGTTATTAAAAAAATTATTTAATTATCTCATACAATGATGGAACTTTAAGAATGTTTATGGTTTAAATTTGATTTAGCTTGTATGACCAATATTTCACCATAAAAACAAAATGCAAGTTTGAAAACAAATGTTTGAATGATCATTATATCATTAAAATTAATGCATTTTCCCCTTTAAGATTAGCTGTAACAGGAAGGTTTGAGAGGCTTTGATTGGCTGGCTTTGACTAGCCTTCGTATTAGCGAGCTCAGACATCTGCTCGGCCGGCTGCAGGAGGAGCCACAAAAACCACATCCTTGATATTATTTAGATTTTCAAACAAAAAAAAAAGGCCCTTTTTTAGCTTGATCCCACAACACTTTGGCCCTCGTTTATTCTAAAAGCTTCCCGATCACTTGCATGAGGAGAATAAAAGACAAATGAATGAATCAATCCCATTTTTGTATGGGAGCTGTTGTGAGTATTGTCCCCTCCGGCTCCCCGTAGGACGCGTCCGGGTCTCACCTGTGTGAGCAGGTCTTCGGACAGAGTGCCCACGTGGTCCCAGGACCCCCGCTGGTACAGGTGGACCTTGGTCTCCACGGGAACAGCCAAGAACTGACACACACAGGCACATGTTTTGGGTTAACTTGGGGGCCGGCGTGGCCTCGGACACACACCCGGTCGGCCGGGGGGGGGGGGCTGACCTGGGCGGCGGCGGGCTGGAAGGCCAACCGGCACAGCGAGCGGGCGCCGCCCACATCGCTGGTCTTCTGCAGCAGGGGCCAGCTGAACGCCTGGGTCTGGGGGGGGACAGGCGGAGGTCAGGAACAGGAGCAGTGTATAGGAGCCTTGGCTGGATATCCAACTCCTCCCACATCCAAGTCGGAAATTTTGATTAGGTCATGTGACTAGCAGCTTTCTCAGGTGGAAACCAAACTTTACTGTTTATACGAAATCTGAAGGCAAACAATGTCCTAACCCTAAACCTGACCCTGATCCTGACCCCAACCCTAACCCTGACCCTAAACCTGACCCTAACCCAAACCCTCCAGCCTTCATAATTGTGAGAAATAAATATCTTTTGGTTAAACTTGTTTGGACTTATTGTACAAACCTATTTAACATCCACTATTTTAACATAATATTATGGATAGAGTTTAAGTCAGTGTTTGCAAGATTCATTTCACTATTTTTAAATTAATGTCTATATTTCTCACAATTTAGAGGGTTGGGGTTAGAGTTAGGACATCGTTTGTCTTCTGATTTCGTATAGACAGTAAAGTTTCGTTTCCACCTGAGAAAGCTGCTAGTCACATGACCTAAACTTGGATGTGGGCGGAGTTGGACATCCATCCCTGGCTTCCTACAGTCGTGGAGGCGGGGGGGCGGGGACGTACCTGCTCCTCGATGTTCCACAGAACCACCGAGCCGTCGCAGCTGGCCGAGGCCTGAAAGGCAGAGCACACAGAGCCTGAGGAGACCAATAAACCCAATCCGGTTCCCAAAGAACAGAAGAAACTGTCTGAAAACTAAGGCAGCTTTTATGTTTTTATGGAAAAAATTAGTGTTGTTGTTTAATCGATTAACTGTAAGCAAGATGAGGGTCAAAAAGTCTGCGACTTTAGAGAAAAAAAAAAACAAACAGCTTATTTTCAAAGCAAAACATGCAAAAGATGTACAGTTCTTGTGCTTTTTCATATTTGAGATGTAAAAATATTTAGACTCGGTGGTGTGGCCGCCTCAGAAAAAGGGTTCCCGGTTTGTATCCTGGCCGAATTCCCACCAGAGAGCAAAAAACACGCACGTCGGGGACTAAGGAGAGGGCTTTTTTTCTCCACTTTCAGCTGTTTTTCCAACACTGAAAGTATTTTAAAAAAATACTGAACCCAAAAGAAGAAATTCTCAAATATGAAAAAACAACAGACTGAATGTCAGATTATTGCTGCTTTTTTACCTTCTTCACTGTACACCCCACTGACCAACTAAAAAATAAATAAAAAACATGCCCAAAAACACACTATAAAATAAAGAAAAAAAGCCACTATTTAAGACTTCTGGACCCTGATGTGGAACACAAACTGCAGCTGGCTTCGTTTTTCTGTAGAAACTACAGAAGATCCAACAGGTGGGTCATCATCTCCTCTTTGTGACACAAAACATCATCACATTTACATGCAGCCAAAATGAAAAGCAAAGGGAAACACAACCCCAACGAAAAACTCAGAAGCTAAACGAAGTTTAGAGACGACCCAAAAGTTAAAAAAACAAACAAAAAAAAAGATTTTTGATGACATTTACAAGCATCAGAGAGAAGGGAAACACATTCACCTTTTCAGTTAGACCTGAAAGACACACAGCAGGTTTTATGTGATACCAAATACACAAAAACTTATTTTTTTCCAGCAGAAAAAAACTCAAATGAGTCCTTAATTAGACACATAAAGGCTCACTGGAGTCCTAAAGCACAGTTTAACTCAATTATCTCGTAAATAAGGCAGAGATATTTACTGTATAGGAAGCTTTTTGTTCCTTTAGTAGGACCCTCGTCCAGTTTTCTCTGGTGGAAATCCACGAGAAAGTGTTTAAAATATCCCAAAAAGACCCATTACAGACATAAACTCCAGCTCCAGTTTGGCTCCTCAGAATCAGAAATACTTTAATAATCCCAGAGGGAAATTATCATCGGATCTTCTGATACCAAAACATCCTCCACTCAGAAGACATTTCCGTCCATGGGATGTCTTTACACCCCAGGTTTCTGCCTTTAGAGTTTAAGGTGGAGCCACAATATCTCTTTTCTATGACTTTAGATCAGAATCAATGCACAATGAATCATTATCCAGCACCCCTTTAAGCATTAGCATTAGCATCTGTAACCACAGGTCTGTGTCCTAACCATTAAGTTGTTATCAGAGTAAATCCCTGTTCAGCATGAGTCTGACAACTAAGTAAGTAGAATAAATAACTTTAATACAGTCTCTGATGGCCGGATCAGATTGGAAGTTCAAAAAGCTGGATCGGGACATCCCTCGTACGGTTTGAATTATTTAACCCCAAATGAGGAAATTTCTGTCAGAGATGGGTCAGATTGTTGGTGTCAGGCAAAGAAAATGTCTAAAAAGAGAAGCAGGGTCCACAGAAGGGGGCAGGATAGGGGCTTTTAGGTGGTAGAACATCGTCGTTTGGTGTGTTTGAAAGCTCCGGGAACCCCAATCTGAGCTGGACGGCTTTTCAAAACGGGGGCTTTTCCTTCGGGATGAAGCCTGTTTTCAGAAAGCTGGGAGATGAAGAGTTATTCTCACCAGGAAGTCGTCTCTGGGGTCAAAGGCCACGCTGAGGACCGGAGCCTCGTGGCCGCGGAGCGTCTTCTGCCGGCTGCTGTCCGCCACCTCCACCACCTTCACCAGGAAGTCACTGAGGGGACGGAGGAGAAACAACTGAGCTGTTTCTGTCTCATAATTTCATTATGTCAAAGTTTATGTTGAGTAGCACTGAACAAACGTTTGTTGTTCTTCAACATATCAGCTAATACAAAAGTATATACTGATAAGGTAGGGGGGTTATTTAAATTATTTATTCATTCTTTCTTTAATTTTTTTATTTGTATTTATTCATTCTTAATTCAATCTAATTATTTTATTATTATCAGTATTATATTATTGTTTAATTTGAATTTATTTTTTACTTATTCTAGTATTTTTAGTTTTAAAATTGTATTTATTGTATCTATTTATATTACTCTATTTTTTTTATTCTGTTTTATTTATTTGAATTTTTTACTTATTTGTTAATTTTCTATTAAATTTTTTCTTTATTAGTTAATGTGCTTATTCATTTGAAGCTTTTTCTATATTTTCTGTTTTTTCATGAAATTCGTTTTATTTCAATTTCCCCTTCCAGGTATGAATAAGGTGTTTTCTATTCTGTTCAATCTACACATATAAACAGTCTATTAAAGAAGAAAATTTTTCAGTAACAATCAGAGGATTTGCTTTTGTTAAGTGCAAGAAAAATATTCAATGCAAGAATACTTCCATTCAAAACATTATGCATAAACGAGGTCACAAACCTGTTCCCATTAATGAGAAAAATATGTACATATGAATCAAATTTCAACAAACCTCACAATAGATTTACTCTCCATCTTTATAAACCCGTTTCTTTGTAAGTTTCCTGACATTTGCTGCTTTTGATTTTACCCTATTTGACGTCATTATGATAATTCCTTTTCAAACACAGTGTTGACCAAACTTCAGATCTCTATTTCAGTATTCTGCCGTTAACACATGCGATCCTTGCTTTGAAACAGAGATTTAAAGGGGACAGGCACCTGGAGCCAGCAGCCACTCTGGAGCCGCTGCGGTTGAAGGCCACGTGCGTGGCGTTGGTGGTGAACCGGGTCAGGATTCCGTCCGGCTCCCCCTCCGGGAACGTGTGGATCTGCACCGTGTTGTTGGAGCTGGCCGTCACCAGCTTCCCGTTCTGTGGAGGAGGGGGAGTGTCTCAGTGACCAGCCTCTGTCTGCAGCCTGTAGGAGCCTCGGCTGGATATCTAACTCCTCCCACATCCAAGTCGGCCATTTTTATCAGGTCATGTGACTAGCTGTTTTCTGAGGTGGAAGCAAAACTTAACTGTCCATATGAAATCAGAAGACAAACGATGTCCTACCCCAACCCTGACCCTTAACCTGACCCTAACCCTCCACCCTTCATAATTGTGGGAAATAAATATTTTTTGGTTAAACTTGTTTGGACTTATTGTACAAACCTATTTAACATCCACTATTTTAACATAATATTATGGATAGAGTTTAATTCAGTGTTTGCAAGATTAATTTAATTAATGTCTATATCGCCATGAAGCAATTCCGATTTTCTTCCTGGGATCTTCCTATTGGTGACCTAATCAAAATGTCCGGCTTGGATGTGGACCGAATTGGGTATCCATCCATGGCTTCCTGCAGTCTGGGGGGGGGTCATAGCGGGCGGCCACTGACCTTCAGAGCCAGAGAGTGGGCCTTCTCGCCCACCGTGATGAACTTGGGGTCGTCGTCATCCAGACTCTCCCAGATCCGAACGTCCCCGTCGTTCCCGCAGGTCACAATGAACCTGAGGGAGTTCAGCCGGGTCAGAACCGGGTCAGGCCACGCTTTAACAACCGCAGCTTTTGGGAGTCAAACATGGACCTACCAAGGCCTCCCAGAGCAACAGGTCCCTGTCTGTCTTCATAAACTCCTACAGACCCCCCTCTCCACAGAGCAGCTCCGCTTTGAATCCCCCCAAAACAGCTTTAAAAACCCTAAAAAAAACAGCTTTAAAAGTCCCAAAACAGCTTTAAAGCCCCCCAAAACTGTTTTAAAGCCCTCAAAAACAGTTTTAGAAGCCCCAAAAAACAGCTTTAAAGCCCCCAAAACAGGTTTAAAACTC